CAGGTAGTCGCCCGTTCAATTCCCACGGACCGCCTGCAACACTCTTGGTGCCAACCATCTGAGATAATTGGCTTGCTCCCCCCGGTTTTGGTATTGGTAGGGCCTTCGGCCGCCCTGGGTGTGCGTGTGTGTGTTTGTGGATTGTGTGTGCGGGTGCAGGTCATAGACACTGGGAGGTACAGCTACTGGCAAAATTCTCCGTCTTTGTGTTAGCCACACCCCCCTGCTCCGGTGGCCCCACCCTATCCCCTTAGCACCGCCGATTAGGGTCGGCGGTAACATTCACCCCCTTGATTGAACATCCACCCCCTTGATTCTCCAATTTATTTTTCGGCAGGCCTCCCCTTCATAGCTATACTTGAAGGGCTCCCCTGTGCAGGCCTCCCCTGCATAGGGTTATCGGTAGTGGTAGGTAGGTAGTGAAAGGTGAAATTGAGAGAAGAATAGGCCTCCCCTGTGCAGGCCTCCACTGTATAGGCTTAGTAGTAGTGCTGAGGCAGGTAGTGAAAGGTGAAATTGAGAGAAGAATATAGCTCAGTTAAAAAAAGAGAAAAAAAAAAGACATACCGAAGAGGTCCCGATGGCATTTTGTCCCATCCCATGCAGTGGTCCCGATGGCGTTTTGTCCCATCCCATTGACTGGCACGGACCTGCAGTTGGTGCCCATCCCGTTGACTGACATGAACCTGAAATTTGTTAACTGAGGGCCCCGAGTGTTCCTCCCATTCCCCCCGCCCCCCCCCCGCCCCCACCCACCCCCCTTATTTTTTCGGCCCTTATTTTTTCGAGAACAGAACACTTGTAGTTCAGTTGGGAGGGGCGGACAAGTGGCATTGAGGACAGGAGGTGCATTCAATCCTACTGGCCTCATGTATATGTGTTGGGAATGGTTGGTGCACACAAGGTACGGATAGCCGATTGGCCCTGCAATCAATAATTACTGGCCGAGGGAAGACGGCCTTAAGGGCCCCGAGTGTATTTCCACCCGGCCTTAACAGGTTTTTAGTTCCGTTCGTAAGGGGTGGACAAAGTGCAATCGACCGCTCGGGTCGTGCGTTCAATTACAACTGGCCTCAGGGGCCCAAGTGCATTCTCTCTCCCCCCCCCCCCCCCCCACACACACACCCCTCTTAACCTCTTCTGGTACGGAAACAGATAATTTTTAGTCCAGTTTGGAAGGAAACAGATAGCATTTAGTTCAGTTTGTAAGGAGTAGACAAGTGCCATCGATTTATGTGTGGGAACGGTCGGTGGACACCACCTAGGGATAGCCGATTGGCCCCTCAACCATTGACAACCAATAATTACACCCTGGTTCCTAACTTAATTAAGGTTGTTTCGGGACTTGGGGAAATTTTCGGACTGCCAAACCTTCATCCCTGATCGACGTGATGGCACTACCCATGCCTTTGTCAATAGACACGTTAGCCCAGTCGTCAAAGTCAAATCCTTTCATCGGACAAGTCCCCAGTTCTTTGTCCCATCTGAAACTGTGCCTTCGATCAACCCATCAACCCCTAAACCACCACACTCGAGAATCGAAATCAGCTTCATTTGATCCCCAGTTCCTTGTCCCATCAGATAAGATAAAGTCCCATCAGATACGAAAAAGTCCCATCAGATACGAAAAAGTCCCATCTGAAACTGTGTCCCATCACGGGTAACGAATTCGGCAAGCACTACTGATGGCTACTCCTTGCTTCATTTGAATATTACAGTGTTGTAAAATAATACTAAAATTCGTACGCCCATTTATGCCTTTTGTGCAAGGATGACACGCATACAGTGATGGCAACTCCGAACACTCCCGAACTAACTTGCAACCCTTTTTTTTTTAAAACACTGTTATTCAAATGAAGTGAGACTCGAAATCAGCTCATTCGGTTCTCTTACCACCACTGGGATAGAGGCCTTGCACAAGGGCCTTGGAAAAAAAAAAAAAAAAAGGGGGGGGGGGGGGGGGGGAAGAACTCAGCTCATCCGAAGAAGTCCCATCATGGCAAAAAACGTTTCACTCAACCTGAGGAAGCATACTTGAGAATCAAAATCATCCAAATCAGCTCACTTCGAGAATTGTTATAGTTGGAATGAGGTTCCTTTTCCAAATGGTGAAGGGGTTGATCAACCCCTAACCCCTAAACCACCAGTAGATCGAAATCAGCTCATGTTAAGAGTCGTTAGGTTAGGCCAGTGGCTCGGGCCTGCCGGGGCAAACTGGCTGGTGGCAGCAAGCAAATGAAAAGAAAAAGCATGGCGCTGACTTTCAGCAAAGTTTGGCGCGCAGGCCCACAGGGGAAATCCACCTCGGCAAAACGAGGCTCCGATGTGTACTGGTGGTTTGAGAGTGACCGCCCCCTAAGGCAGGTCCAGCACTGGGAAGAGGCCATCGTGTGAGCAGAACGGAGTTTCCCTCTTGGCAATGATGACTGAACAAGGCTGATCTGAGAGGCTAGGGGACTGCCCTCGTGCCAGCAACTCCCCCAACTTCATGGGATCTCCGCTCTCCCAAATTAGTATTATAATACTATTATTATTATTATCATTATTATCACTACATTATGACACAGCAGCCAATCTGGGCCCTCCGTTTCGTTGGGGTGTGGCGGTCGAGATTGGCTGCTGATCGTTTTCGATGCCATCAACTTGCAATCCGGACCGTCTTAGGCATTGAGCCGCGAGGTCCAGATTGCCTGTTGATCATTTTGGAGACGATCCCTAGGCCGGTAGGGTAGGCCCTGGCACGATATTGCCACGCGCGGCACTCCCCAGGCCAATTTTTGCCTCGTAGTATGGCGTGTGGCACACCCCAGGCCAATATTGAAAGGCTACAGACGTGCGGGGTTGATGTAACTAACAATTTTTTGCCAGGCTTCGCCAAAAAGAAACAGCGAATCGTACACACGGGGTTCGTAGGAACCATTTTTCTTATTATCTGTTGTGGTCGTCAGTACATGGATCATTTTACACGAAGACACCGTTTCGGGTTTGAAGCTCCCGCTTGGTATTGGCATTCTGTTGATGTAACTAACATTTTTCCCAGGCTGCGCCAGAAAGAAACGGCAAATTGCGACCTCGACGCTACTGTAAAGGGCACACTGGACTTCGACGCTGGCTGGCTACTCTACGCTACTGGACTTCGACTTTTTACGCTCAACGCTACTGTACCC